AAATAAAAATAGAAATGTTATGATAAGGTAATTAAAGTTTTTCTCTGTCCAAGCAGCCACTCCCAAATAACCACACAGAGACTTAATATTAATTATAAATGCTCAGCCAATAGCTGGGGCTTTTTACTAACTAGTGTTTACAGCTTGAATTAATTTCTTATCAATGCTCTACCATATGGTGACACCTTTTTCACCATGGCACATCCATCTCCTGCTTCCTCTGCATCTGCTGATGGATGACTCGTCAGACTCCACACTTGTCCTTCCCAGCGTCCTGCTAGTCCGGATCTCCTCACTAATCTTCCTGCCCAGATATAGGCCAGTCAGCTCTTAATTAACCAATGGGAGCAATACATATTTACAGTGTCCAAAGATTATGCTACAGCATGATAACTGTCATAAAACTACCAAATCTACAAAACTACACAAATAAAATATGTGTATTACATATTTTATTGCCTTGTTCTCCAAGTAATGATCTCACAATAAGGTTTGTAAGTGGAAAGTGTATATCTAGCATATTTGTAGAAAACACATTTTCAGAGGAAGATCATTTTGTTACCAGTTATCAAACAGCTGGAACAATAACTTGATATCAGCATACCTGTTACTTTTTGCCCACTCTCAGAATAGCATTAGCATGCAAATTTTATCTGGAATCTGTAATTCTGTGCCTTAATGTTTTAAATACAACATTGAAAATGGACACATAACAACAAAAAGATTTAAAGTGTACATTCCATTGGGGAAGACAATAAGTCTGGGGCTGCTGGAAAATCCGATCTCTCAAGTTGTTACACCACTTTTCCCAGTGGAAAGATTTTTGTCAAGTCCTCGGGAGCACAAAAGATTCATATTACAAATTAATGGTAATAATACATGAAATAAAAGAGCCCAAGCATCCAGCTTAGCTAATAAAATTGATGCCTGAGAATAAGCATCCTTTGGGAAACGGTGGTGTGAGGAGCTAGCTAAGGACTACGAATACCTTTAACTCTTATTTTATGCACATGGATGTTCTGCCCGAATGTATGTCTGTGTGAGGGGGTCAGGTACCCTGGCACTGGAATTACAGACAGTTGTGAGCTGCTATGTGGGTGCTGGGAATTGCACCTAGTACCTCTGGAAGAGGAGTCAGTGCTTTTAACTGCTGAGCCATCTCTCCAGTCCCTGACTGTATATACCATTGATCCTTTGAACTTGTGTGAAAGACAATGGACAGACCTACCCTATGCAATGCTTCTGCAATGCTTCTGATGTACCTGATGGTGGTGGTTGTTGGTAAGAAAAGTCTGTACTGGAAGGGCCTCCCCATGGTGTTGCAGCCAACAAGAACACAGAGAATGAGAAGTGGCAAGTCCTCCACATCCCCAAACCCTGCTCCTAGTCCACGGATGTATTTATCTGTACTTAGATGCTACTAGATTCCCTTGCTTGATGTTTTTGTCATTTTGGGGGGGGGTCGTAAGACCCCAGTTTCAACACAATGCTGTCCTGATCATTTTGGTTGACCCTTCCTCCTTCCCTCAGTAAACACAGATGGAGACAAGAGGATGAGAGGTTTCTGTTCATATTAGGACAGCATGGGTTCAACTCCTGAAGCTGGGCCTTTGCAAGCTCCTGTTGACGTGTGGATGGATTCAAAAATGCTCAGAAACTGTGTATGATGCCAGTGATCAACTGTCAAAAATTCACCTCAGAAGTATCCTCATTCTTCCTGTGAAAAAGCTATTTCCATGGATAAGCTAATTCCATCTAAAGTTCTAAGTCTAAGGACATAGAACGATTAGTGCAGAAGCTGACTTGTGACACAGGCTCGCAATCTTCCTGTCCTTCCCACAGAGCTTAGAGAGCGATCAAAAGACAGCCAGTACTAACTGCCAAAAGGACAATGCCTAAGAGTCTTGACAAGACCTCTTAGCTCAGTGCTTCTTAGAATGGTCCCCAGGCCTATGGTATCAGCATCACCTAGACACCTACTATAGTGCTTTTTATTATTATTTTTTGGCCTCATTTCAGCTCTCCTATATCATAGATTCCAGATAAGAGCACACATCTATTTATACAAGTCACCGGCAGACCAGAGAAAGCATCATAGCTGCTCAGTGAAGTGTTCACGATAGTATGGACTTTACCCCCTCTTTGCCTTCTGCAGCAAAATAAAGTTTGCCAATTTTGCAATAGAGAACTAATAATTCCCTTCTCGGGAACCAAGCCCCAGTGTTGCTTTGGTGACCAGAATACAGATCTAGCTTGGACAGGTAGTGTATTGAAGAGTTAGGAGCTCAAAGAATATGTGGGGATTTGCTAATTTATATTCTTAAAGAAATATATCTTGGAGCTGGAAAAGATGGCTCACTGGCTGACAACACTTGCTTCCAGAGGACCTGAGTTCAGTTCTCAGCGCCCACATTGTACAACTCACAACTGCTTGTAGCTCCAGAAGACCCACTGCTCCCCTTTCTCTGCAGGCACCTGAACACAGATGGCATGCATCCAAACACAAACACACACATAAAGATTTTTAAATGTTTTTAAATGCCCCCATGATGCCAGGGGGATGGTTCTTCATGAAAAGGTACTTCCTGGACAAAGCCTGACAAGTCCAACCCTGGAGACACATGCCCATGGCAGAAGGAGGAAACAAATTCTCAAAGTTGTCCTCTTCCACACACCAGCTGTGGCACACACTTGCCACCATGGCAGATGGCTAGCAAAGATAGTTCGAAGCCGCTGCGTACAGATCTTTATAAGGCAACGTAAGGGGAGTGTCTAGGGGTATGCACAGGCTCAGGATTGGCGTGCCTCCAGGCTTGGAGGGCTTACCCTGTGTTGATTGGTCAACTGGTTGTTATGGCCCATAGGCCCTCCCAGGGTGGTTGCTATGCTTTGTGCATCATTGCTGTGTGCTTGTCCGTAAAGCACACCCGGGGTCGTAAAGCATAGCGCCACCAGCTAACTTCTGATTGATTCCTTGTCATGAGGCAGGCATCTGACTTTCTAGTGACTAACTAACTTCTGATGGGTTCCTTGTCACAAGGCAGGCATCTGACCTCTAAGTGACCAAGGCAAGTTTATGGCAAGCACGTGTTCGGCTGTTATGGCTGCCGGAAGGGGAGCTGGTCCCTTCATTGGAGTAAAGGTGTGCACCACCATGCCTAGCTAAAGTGGATTTCTTATAGATAGCATATAATGGGTATTTCTTTTGTGTAATACTTTTCCACTTTGAAATTCTCCTTTAATATGTTTATTTAGACAATTAGTCTTAAAATAATTTTGATAGATGTCCTAGCATTGTGTGATAAAACTTTCATTGAGGAGATGCAACATGTGTCTGCTCCCTCAAGATGGGAATCTCACAACAGATAATACAAAAATCCAACTTGGTAAACTAATTTTACTGGGGTTACTTACAGGAATATGGGGGAGGGGCTACTCACAGAAGCAGAAATGACCCCGAGAGCTGCATCACCAAGGGCCACTCTAGCGTGGGTGACAGCTAGAAAGCTTGAGACCCTGAAACACACTGCACAGCCTGCAAGCTTTCCACGGGACTCTTCTGAACCTCTTCCAGTTTCTGCTTCTCCCAGGCAGCTGGTCTGCTCTCAGTCTTAGCTGCATGCAGCTCAGCTTCGCTTAGTCTGAGACAGACTCTCTCTTTGATTGCTTTCTCTGGCAGGGAGGAGCCTAATGAGTCTGGTCAGCTTCAGGAACTTCTTGAAGCCGTTTTGAATTGTTTACTTTCCTGCTTAAACAGTTTTCCTACAGGGTGGAGTGTTTCATTCTCAGGAAAACTGTAACACAACATATGGTTACTTTCTTGTTGTTTTAATAATTACCTTGACTAAAAGCAGTTTGGGAAGGAAAGGGCTTAGTCCAAATCTCAGTCAAGGGAACCCCGGGTGGGGAGTTTAAGGAAGGAGCCCGAGCAGACCCAGACGCAGAAGTGCAGACCAAGCTGGAGTGCTGCTGACTGGCTTGCTCCTCCTGCTGGCTCAATTCTCCTCCTCCTCCTCCTCCTCCTCCTCCCCCCCCCCCAGGCTGGTCTCAAATGCAACAGACTCCAGCTTCCCTCC